AGGCCATCTCTAGTAGGTTGGAGGCCAATTCTATTAAGTTGGAGGCCGTCTCTAGTAGAATGTCTGCGCACCAGGTGAAGTTTGCGGACAATGACCGAGCTCCACCAGAGTTCTCGGACACGAAGGCCAGCAGCCTTTGGAAACTCCTAGTAGCGTCCTTGCTCCTAGTAGCGGTGCCGGGAGCCCCTAGCAGCGATACCCTTCTAGACTCCTTTCCGCCCTTCAGCAAACTTTGCCCCTTTTGACCCTTCTGCTTTCCTTTTTTCCTTTTTCCTTTGGGCTCTTGAGGCCAAATCCTGTTTCTTCGTATTGCTAGCACATTCTGAACGCATTTCTCGGCTTTGCGCAAGCTGTTTGCAGATGGGCAAGGGCGCCTTCCCACCCCCGCCGGGTGGGAAAGTAAACCCATTGAACATTCCTGCTGACAACCGTTCCTGAGCCGCACTGCGCACTGTCTTCCAAGTGGCCTTTCGATGCAAGAAAGGCCTTTAAACTTTACGCTTGTGGCTTTTGAGGTGAGGTCTTTGTCAGTGGGTTGCGTGCCAACACTGATGAGGAGGGGCAGACCAGGGTCTGCATTCAGCAGCCTCCATGGTTGCAACATTTGCATCCTGGTGTCACTCATTTTTGGACACATTGAAACTCTTTCAGGAGTCCGTGAGGGAAATCTTCAAAGGTATGGGCCTAACCACTGTCAAGGTGAGACGTCCCGGATGGGTTTTGCTTGTTCATGTTTTTTCAAAGAGACTATTTGTTGTTTGCCTGATTTTTGGCTTTAGTAGCTTTGGCAGCCAGTTTGTTTGTGAGTCCTCGTCAGGTGTGCTGTGAGGGGAAGCCGGATGGTCATGGTCGGGGCAGCTCAGAAAGTTGCATAGAAGACCTTGGAAAAAAGTGTCTCAGCTGCCTCCAACCTAGTTAATACTAACAATGGCCCCCAACCTACTAGCGATGGCCTCCAACCTGCTAGTGATGGCCTCCAACCTACTAGCGGTGGCCTCCTGCCTAACAGGCTCAAGGGGAATGACCACAATTCACAATTTTGGGGTTCCCTGCTGCGAGTAGCTGCATGTCGAAGAACTAAGGAACTCTTCGCATGATCAAGACTGTTCCTAGCCTTTTTTGTGGGGGGGAACTAAGCTGAAGTCCAAGACAGCGTCGTGTCGTGGGTCCCTGAAAAGGCTATGCTTTGGCTCGCTTTCGATTTCCTGAAGAAGCACAACATGTCCCACGCCTAGAGTTGGCTTCAAGCTACCCGTGGGAACTGAAGCACGATCCATCATGATTTGTAGAGCTCGGGCCTGAGGCTATTCGCATGACTGATGGGATGGTACATCGAGGAATCAAGATCCGAACCCTGCTGTCATCCAGCGCTGCCGCCGCTAAAGTCGCTTGGCAGCCAAATCAGGTTGGAGGCATCCGCTGTTTAGTTGGAGGCCATTGGAGGCCATCCCTAGGCCATTGCTATTAGGTTGGAGGCCATCGCTCGTAGGTTGGAGGCCATCGCTGGTAGGTCGGAGGCCATCGCTGGTAGGTTGGAGGCTATCGCTATTAGGTTGGAGGGCATCGCGATTAGGTTGGAGGCCATTGCTACTGTGTGCCCCTGGTCGAATCAGCGTCTCGAATCGGCATCTCAGGGTCAGGTCACCACCACACTGATGGAACGGCCGCAGCTTGGCGATTGTTTCTAATAGCTTCTTGTTACTACTAGTAAGGCACCTGTTACTAGTAGCGTGGCACTTGTTACTAGAAGCGATGCACTTGTAACTCGTGAATCAAACATCTACCCTGACGAAATGTGCACTTCAAGTCCCATTCTGTAATACCCTTAAGGACTGTCCCGTCGGAGAGTCTCTTTGTGATGGGATTGCCTCCAGGAAGTACCTCCGATGCCCGGTAGCACTGTGGTTTTTATCGTGGTGCCTTCTAAGAGTACAGTCGAATCTCGATTTAAGGGTGGGTATTTTTCAAAAGCGAGTTGTTGGTGTTGCAGGTATGTTGCACCTCTATGCTATAGTACGTAGTACGATATATTATACTCCTTCCGTCGGAATCCATCGGCAATCCATCCTTCTGGTTTCCACCATGATTTCTTTTTCTCCTATTGCTATTAAGCTGCAGGCCATCGCCAAAGATGAGCAATGGCACGTAATACGATGGTTCTTGATGTGTAGGAACCTTCAATCATGCCTTTTCTGGATCCTTCAGAGTTGCCAATCTCAGGAGACGATTACGGCCTTTTTTGGGCAGTTTGCTGGTGTCGCCTTTGCTACTTGCCCAAGTCAACGTATTCTCTTCGAAGCAAGAAAGCTACAGAAGGTCCTGAAGCGTGGAATTCCTGACACCTTGCTGTCTCACACCATGGAGCAAATCTCTCAATTGAAAAAGAAGAAAGGAAGCAAAGAAAGAAACATCTAGAGGAACAAACACCATAAAAGAAGGAAGAGATAAGAACAAGCAAAGGAAGCATTGCAAGAAAAGATCTAGAGAGATCTAAAGCTCTAAGGGTTTAGTCTTGGTGTTGGAGCTAAGGTCAAAGTCCTAGACACAAATGGAAAGAAAGGCGACCGACCGCGCAGTGAATTTATGCATCCGGACGCATCTGGCATTTGTTCTGTGGCGACAGGACATGAATGCCAAATAGGGAGAGACGACCAAAAGCAAGTAGTATTTACAGTGGTCCTTATTGGAGGCCATCGCTACTAGGAACAAGAAGCTACTAGTAGCTCCTGGCATCGCTACTAGGAACCCGGGCATCGCTACTAGTAGAGAACGCTACTAGTGGCTCCTGGCCTTACTACTAGGAGCAAGGACGCTACTAGGGGCTCCTAGTAAGACCGTCCGACCGTTGTTCTCGTCATGGACGGGTTAGCTGTGCGCATGCCTCTAGGTGACACCGTGGCACTGGTGCGTATGAATAGCTTGGATGAAGCGACTTGGTGTCCTCACCTCGGATGGAAGCGACGCATTGTGCTGTGGCAAGAAGCTACCAGTAGCGGGGGCATCGCTATTACAGTAGTAGCAAGAAGCTACTAGTAACACGAAGCTTCTAGGTTGGAGGTAGTTGTTGTGGATGGCGCACGCGTTCTTTGTTCAGGCGTCGATCGGCTCAATGGTCATGAGACCGCCCCGAACTTGCAGCATCCTGGCTATGAGGCAGTAGTTGCAAGAAGCTACTAACTAGGGTGGAGGCCATCGCTACTAGGAACAAGGAGCTACTAGTAACAATGGAGCATTGTCACCTTGACACCCCTTCCAGAAGTGGTCTCTCTGGTGTTTTGCCAAGTCGTGAAAGGTGTCACCTTGTCCCCCACTTGAGGTTGGTGGTGCGATTTTCGGCAGCCTGGCTGATTCGTTGCACTCAGCAATGCCTCGATCAGTGTTGCTCCAAGGATCCTCCCAGGGCAAAGGGCGGCAAGGGCTTTGATGACATGCCGGCAGGGGCAATGCCAGTCCTTGTTTTGCTTCCGTCTCACCAAGTGTTGAGCAGCGTTGAACATGGTTTGGAAAACGCTTGGGTTTGCTCTTGACCAGCTCCATTGAGCCTGGCTCTTGTTTGCAGGTGCCAGGGGTAAGGACACGTGGCTTTAGTGACTCACCTTATGGCGAGGCCAGGGGGGCTGATCCGAAAGCCGCAATAACAGAACAAACTTAATAAAGAAGAACCTACAAGAGATGGCCTCCAACCTACTAGCGATGGCCTCCAACCTAGAAGCAATGGCCTCCAACTAAACGGAAAATAAACATTAGTAAATTCATAACATATTTCTCAATACCGTGGATTGTTGCCAATCTCTTGGTTGGATCCATTATGTATTTCTTTGAAAAGGGGGTGGAGTCCGCATCAAAGAGGAGCCGGTGGGATTTGGTCCAGTTTGTTTTGCCGCATGTCCTTGACAACTGAGAACCAACGAACCTCAACACTGACAAACTCCATGCCGGTCCAGAAAGAAGTCACGATCCTTCGCGACCTCTTGACATTCCGGTCACATGGTTACTAGTGACTAGTACAAGCTTGTTTGTGTATTTTTCTTTTTATTGGTTCTTGGGGTGGTGCTATAACTAGCATGTTCTGGATTGAAAGTCATTATCCAAAGGCAGCAGTTCCTGTGGCACAGCGCCCTGTGCGAAGCTTTATCTCAGATGGCGAAGCGCAGGCAAGTGGGGTTAGGACAGATTCCATGGGCCTTCGACCTCAAGCTGTGACTAGCTGACTGATTGCAAAGGGAAAAGATCAGTAGACGCGATCAAACGCAGTGAACTTGAACTAGTTTGTTTTTCCTTTGTTTTCAACTTCAAAAAGCAGCTTGAGTCGCAGTTTTCACGCGCCCTGAGACCGGCTTCTCTGACGCCTGGAGTCCTCCAAGCCCACCTCACCTCCCAGGCACGGATGAGACTTTTCACTCTAGGCACCGAATCTCGTACTCGAAGTGGATGAGAAGTCTAGACATTTCATGTTTTGGAGGCCAATCGCGATGTTTAGGTTGGAGGATGGTGGCGTTTCAGACTTTGATCGAAGTCCGCGCCAGGTTTTGCTGGGGCGTCGCAGTCCCAACCATTTCTTGGTGCTCCGCATGGTGCTCCGCATGGTGCTCCGCATGGCGGGCACAGCGCTCTTCATGGCTCGGGGCATGGGGCCATGCAAGCGGCACCAGGCTCATCCCAGGTGGCTTAGCTCCTTTCAGCTGAGCAGTGGGAATGTTTCCATGTCCTCTCTGTAAGCATGTTCGTGCAGAAGTGCGATTTCCAGAGCAACATATGTTTTTTGTTTCTTTTCAATTCTTTTCCTTTGCGCGGGTTCATGGCCAAGGCCTTTCGATCTCAAGCAGCTGCACCGGCGCAACTTGGTGCAAGGAGAACGAGAGGTCTTGAAATTGACTCGGGCGACACCAAAAGTTTCGGCAGAAGGATAGGGAAAAACAAACAGAAAAAAACGACCTGATTGATATCTATTTTACTGTTTTTATGATGTTTTGCTTTTGTGTTATTTTTCAACTTGCTGAGGAGTGTTGGACTCGGTGATTCTGGCGGATGTCAACTGTAGAGTCTCGAGCAGTGCTGCTGCGACCAGTTGCACACGCCAGTGGGACCATGTGTGAAGCGACAAGCCGCCTTCCGCTCAAAAAAGCCACCAGCCGGATTCGACTCGAACTGGAAAATTGATTGAGGTAAAACAAAAGAAGGTAAGTTGTAAGGGCCCCTTTCAGAGGCCCTGTGTTTTCACTTCATACACACATTGTATATCTACATTATTACTTTTTTTTGTCTCTCTCTCTCTCTCTAGGCTTTATATAAACAAGTGTATAGAAATATGCATACACATCTCAGTATGCAACCAGCCTCGCAATTTGGCACCCTACAGTCCACTACGCAGGACTTGGAGTTTGTCGTCTCCAACAAGGCCCTTGTCCAAATGCTTGTCTTTGGCCTCTGCGTTTGCCACTTGAGCTGGCCAGGTGACTCGCGTCATTAATTGTGCTGGACGACAGGTGCCCAACCATTGGGAGTCGGGGCCACAGCCTAAAGAGGCCGAAGTGGCTCCAGCCTAAAGAGGCCGAGGTGTTCGAGCGACTTGGAACAACTTTACACAGAAAAGGAATCTACTAGGAACAAGTGCATCGCTTCTAGTAGCAAGTGCCCTTACTAGTAGTAACAAACGAAGGTAAGGGCCGCAAGGGCCCCTCCATTAGAGGAATATATTTTGCGGTCTTTGTTAAAGGGGCCGCAGGGTGGCAGCAAGGGTCCCTACATGTGTTCCCCTGCTATTTGGTTGGAGGCCATCGTTAGTAGGTTGGAGGCCATCGTTATTAGGTTG